CTGCAAAGAGTGAGAATTTGACTCCTTCTTTGCCAATTTGGATGCCTTTTATTTCTTTTTGTTGTCTGATTGCTGCGGCTAGGACTTCTAATACTCTGTTGAATAGCAGTGGTGATAGTAGACATCTGTGCCGTGTTCCTGGCCTTAGGGGGAAAGCTCTCAGTTTTTCCCCATTGAGAAAGATATTCGCTGTGGGTTTTTCATAGATGGCTTTTATGATATTGAGGTATGTACCCAAATCCCTACACTCTGAAGAGTTTTAATCAAGAAAGGATGCTGTACTTTGTCAAATGCTTTTTCTGCTTCTATTGAGAGGATCATCTTTGCCCTTGTTCTTTCTTTTATTAACGTATTGTATTACATTGATTGATTTGCGGATGTTGAACCAACCTTGTAGCCCAGAAATAAATCCCACTTGGTCGTGGTGAATAATCCTTTTAATGTACTGTTGGATCCTATTGGCTAGTATTTTGGTGAGAATTTCTGCATCCAGGTTCATCAGGGAAATTTTATTTTCTTAAGGGTTCTTCATATCTTTATAAAACCCCACTGTCATGATTATCCTTTAACAAATTGGTTTCTTCAATATGCCATGACTGAGACCTGGGAATCCTTTGTATGGACGGCACTGATTTGGAATTGGACAGTTACCTTGGATTCACGTTGGATGGGTATCATCCTGGCACTGGGAAGTTGCATGCAATGGGGATTCATGAGAGGACTTCCTGTTGACTTGATAAAAATGTCTTTATGTCCCACTATCAGTATTCGCCAACACATGGATATGAGCTAATCAGCAATTCACCCTACTTTTTTTTGTCTTCAGTCTGTGAGGTTCTTACCTTGATAATACTTTTTCCTAGGTAGGGGTTTTTTCATTTTCCAAAGGGAAAATTTACTTTGAACTTTTTCTCTTTTTGGAAAACTTTGAAGTGACCAGATGACATTTTTGAGTCTTGGAATGTTCCTTTTTATCGACTGTCAGGTTTTGGTGTGAATAGCCTCATTGAGACATGGGAGTAATCCCTGACCTCTTGTCTGTCACAGATCCCGGATTACAGGAATGCGGTGATCGTGGCCAAATCTCCAGCCTCGGCCAAGAGGTAGGTGGGAGCTCACCACTAATCCTCGGGTCCACATGGAGAATCATCTCCCCGATCGAATCCTGGACGCTCTGGATTCTACCTCAGTGGTTCACACTGGTGTCCCTTGTTTTTATTCTATGGGCTGATAGTTTAAAGATTGTCTGCTGACTCCATTTTAAAAATGATGATATATTTTCCTCCTTTTTTTTTCAATCCCAATCTGTGCCCACCAGTCAAAGACATGCAGGTATCGGGAAGCCTGACCTAATGCTTCTCTCATTTCCAGATTGGCAGCCACTGGTGGACCTTCACATCCAAGGTGTTTAAAATCCATGGTGTTTACAGTACCAGTAAATATACTTTTAGTTGTTTATTGCCTTTTATTACAAGAACTCAGTAATTTATTAACAGAATTGTATCCAGCCGAGAGGCCACTTCTTGGTATATGTTAAAAAGTGACATTTTACAGAACAGAAACACCCGGAGGCAGTGCTGAGAGTTACATGTAAGCTGGAGTAGCTGATAAATCAGTAATACAATATTTAAAGTGGTTTAGGGTTGAGAGGATTTTATATACCCGTGTTTTCTGGAGAAGCCACTTTGTGGGAAAGGGAGAGAATAAAAGCAAATGTAGGAAGAAAGGAAAAAAGCTCCCCCCCCTTTTCTTCTTTTTTTAGATAGGGAGAGATTATTAGGGGGAAGGGAGAGAGATAATATTAAGCAGGGTCCACGCCCAGCGCAGAGCCCAGTGTGGGGCTCAGTCTCACAGCCCTGCAATCATGACCTGAGCCGAAATCAAGAGTCAGATGCTTAACCGACTGAGCCACCCAGGCGCCCCTAAAAATGCTCTTTTAAAATTATGTCCCGCGATTGAATGCCTTTGCTCACTGGATCCCTGTGAAGCCCTGCAGAATATAAGAAAACATAGGTACCTCCATCCTGGGTCCCGCAGGCTGATGATATTGAAGGATGAGGGAGAGCTTGCAGACAGTAAGCCAGTGATTTAAAAGGCATTACAAGCAGTTTTCCATTATAAATTACGAGGGACATTAGGCTATTAAATAAATTAGGCTGGCACTTGTGATAAAAACATAAAGTCGCCGTGTCTGGTGCAGCCAAGGCTGTGCCCACACCATACTTCCTTCGAGAAGCTCTATCAGCAGAGTCTGGTATCGTCCATTTGAGGAAGTCATAGTTAACCATGACTTGTTTTGGAGTATAAACCTGTCAAACACTTTTCTGGGCATTGCGCTGGATCAATTTTAATGTAGTAATTTGTTTTTCTCTAATACATAGGCTTTGAGTTGTTGTTAAGGTGAAAATCATGTAAGGTATAATTAATCATTTTGAAGTATACAGTTCGTTGGCAGTTAGGGCCTTCACAATGTTGTGCAGGTTTCAAAGCTTTCTCTCAGGTTTCAAAGCTTTCTCATCACTCCAGGGGAACACCCCATGCCCATTAAGAAATCACTCTCCATGCCTGCCGTTCCCCCTGCTTGGGCTCTCTCTCTCTCTCTGACAAATAAATAAAATCTTAAAAAAAACACACACAGGTGAAAGACAACATACAGAATGGGGTAAAATATTTGCCCCTTCTCTCCCCAGCCCCTGGCAACCACGAATCTGCTTTCTGTCTCTGTGGATTTGCCTATCCTGGACATTTCGTAAAAATGGAATCATACAGTACATGGCATTTTGAGTATGGTTTCTTTCACATAGCCTCCTGTTTTCCAGGTTCATCCATGTCGTAGCGTGTATCAGTCAGTCATTTCTTTTTACAGCTGAATAACCCCCACTGTGTGGATAAACCACACTGTTTATCCGTTCATGTATTGAAGGACATTTGGGTTGTTTCCACATTTTGGCTGTTATGAAGACTACTGCTGTGAACATTTGTGTACACGTTGCTGTGTCGATGTATGTTTTCATTTCTCGTGGATGTGTACCACGGATCGAAAGTGCTAGGTATATGGTAATTCTATGCTAACATTTTTGAGGGACCGCTGAACTACAGTGGCTACACCATTTCACATTCTCACCAGGAATGTTCAAGGGTTCCAGACTTTCCACATCCTTACCAACACTTATTTTCTGTTTTATTATTATTATTATAATTATTATTATTTTTTAAAGATTTTATTTATTTGACAAAGAGAGACACAGCAAGAGAGGGAACACAAGCAGGGGGATGGGGAGAGGGAGAAGCAGGTTTCCTGCAGAGCAGGGAGCCCGATGCGGGGCTCGATCCCAGGACCCTGGGATCATGACCTGAGCCGAAGGCAGACGCTTAACGACTGAGCCACCCAGGCAACCTC